CGAGGAGGGCGGAGAGGGAGTACTCCCCCTTCCTCCTCTCTCGTGTCTCCTCCCGATCCGTCTCTCCTCCTCTCCCTCTCCTAGGCCTCTCGCGGTCTCCTCCTGCTCCCTCTCCCTCATGTTCTCTCCCTCCCTCGCTGTCTTCCTCGCCTCGCTCTTGTTCTCCTCCCTCCTGCGGTCCTGTTCTCTCCTCTTTCCATGCTCACCCTCTCCCGTTCTGCCTCCCATCGCTCTCTGTTCTCCTTCTCCCCTCACTCCCTGTCTTCCCTCTCTCTTTGTCTTCCTCCTCTCCTCGCTGTCTGTCTTCCTACCTCCCTCTCTCTCTGTCTCTCTCCTCTCATCTCCCTCTCTCTCATCCTTCCTCCTCCCCCATCATCTCTCTCCTTCCGCCTTATCGTCTCTTCCTCCCTCTCATCCTCTCTCTCTCTTTCTCTCTCTCTCGTTCTCCTCATGTCTCTCCTCCTCTCCCTCTCTCTCCATCGCTCTCTCGTCTCCTCTCTTCCCTCTCTCCTCTGTCTTCGCTCCTTCCCTTCCCCTCTCTCCCTCTCGTCTCTCCTCCTCCTTCCCTCTCTCCCTCTGTTCTCCTCTCCTCCCCTTCTTCTCTCTGCGGAGCGAGGGGGGCACGAGAGGAGAGGAGAAGGGACCCCCCGCCGCTGCCTCCTTCTCCTCTCCCCTCTCTCCTCCTCCTTCTTCCCTCCCTCGCTCTGTCTCTCCTCCTCCCTCGCTCTCTGTCTCTCCTCCTCTCTCTCTCTGTCTCTCCTTCCTCCCTCTCTCTTCTCCTGTGTCTCCTCTCTCTCTGTCTCTCCTCCTCTCTCCCTCTCTCCTCCTTCTCTATCTCTCTCTGCAGGAGCGAGGGGGCACGAGAAGGAGAAGAGGGGAGCCCTCCCGCTGGCTGCTCCTCCGCCTCTCTCCTCTCTCTCCTCCTCCTCCTTTCCTCTCTTCCTTCCTGTCTCTTCCCTCCCTCGCTTCTCTGTCTCTCCTCCTCCCTCTCTCATCCTCTTTCCCTCTCTTCCCTCGTCTCTCCTACTCCTCTCTCTATCTGGGCTCTCTCCTCCTCCCTCTCTCTCGTCTCTCTCCCTCTCTCTCTCTTTGGTCTCGCTCTCCTCTCTCTCCCCTTTTCTCCTCTGTTCTCCTCCTCCTCCCTCGCGGTCTTTTTCTCTGCTCTCTCCTGCCCCCTCCTCTGTCTCTCTCTCGCCTCTCTGTCTCTCATCCCTCGCCTCTCGTCTCTCCTCCTCCTCTCTGTCTCTCCTCCTTCCCTCTCTCTCCTCCTCCTCTCTGTCTCTCTCTCCCTCTCTCCCTCATGGACCTCTCCTCCTCCCTTTCTCTCTCCCACTGTCTCTCCTCCTCCCGTCTCCTCCTCCCTCGCTTTCAGTCTCTCCTCTTCCTCCCTCTCTTTCCTCCTTTCCCCTCTCTCCCTCTGTCTCCTGGTCTCTCGCGCCTTCCCTCTACTCTGTCGCTCTCCATCCCTTCTTTCCCCTTTTCTACCTTCTGTCTCTCCCTCCTTCCTTGCTCGTCTATTCTCTCCTCTCTCGTCCTCACTCCTCTGTCTCTCCTCCTCCTCCCTCTCTCTCTGCCTCTCCCCTCTCTCCCTCTCCTCTTCCCTCTCCTCCTCCCTCTCTCTCTCCTCCTCCGCCTCCTCCCTCTCTCTCTCCTCCTCCCTCCTCTCTCTGTCTCTCCTCCTTCCCTCTCTCCTCCTCTTTCTCTCTCTCTCTGTCTTTCCTCCTCTCTCTCCCCGTCCTCTCCCTCCTCCTCCCGGCAGAGAGGCAGCGAGAGGGGTAGAGAGGCAGAGCGAGAACGACAGAAAGGCAAGGAGCATACAAAGGTGACTTACCTCGCCCAGCAGGTTGTCAAGGATGATCACCGTCGGTAGGTAGGGCGCCATCTCGGCTATGTTCGCGAGGTATCCGTGCAGCGCTTTGTTCGACTTGTGGTCGACATTGAACGTGGCGATGACTCCTTACCCGACCTGCATGCAACAACGTCATTAATCAATTATCAACAAACAGTCAATGTTACTTACAAGATCAGACGTATTATGTTTGTTACGTATGATGTAGTATAATCAATAAATGATTACGTGTTGTATTGAAATCACACTTGTCCGACTCGCTGAATATGATGCGCAACAGCATTCCAACAGATTATCAACTTAAATTCATCATTCTCTACATACGCGGCACAGCATTTCACATTAGCACTGCCACTGGGTAAACAAACTCGCAAAGCTAGGACTCTACAAAATGTAATTAGAGCTATCATTATCTTGAGATGTGCATTTTTGAATGGTGTTACACGCATACGTATACAGTTATACAGTTATACAGAGACTACTCGGCCAGCACTCGAAAGTTCGCCAGTTCGAGAAGGTGAGACTCACCGCAGCACGAGGCCACAGGCGTCGGCATCCTGGCATCACACGACGTCGCCGATGCTGTAGCTGTGCACCGCGTCCACGCTCAGACCCAGGCTAGAGACGGGATCCACGCGCAGCACGTACTCCTGCCAAGAGACAATAATCAAATTTAATGAAATAATAAAATAACAAAAATTTCCACGACTGTATAGAGATATATGTACAAGTGTGTTTCGTGCTATAGTTAATGCAGGAAATGAGCGACTCGACTCACTCACACTTTCTCCTCTCTCTCTCCACACACGCACAATTACCTTGAATATCCTCCTCACTATATTGTCGAGCAGTTCCCACTTGCTCTTGCCGCTAACGAAGATGGATCCAATCAGAATGTCTGCTTGTTTGTCCACCTGCAGGGACAGGTGCAAACCGATTACACACCTAACCTAACCTACATAGACCATACTGTATGGTGGCCTTATATCAGCGGTGATTGCTATTGGGTTCTCTATCCAGAACTCTGGGTAGATGAGGCCAGGATGGTCCTATATAGGTGCTGACCAACTGGCAAGTTAGCAAGTTGACATCTTAAATTCAATAGAACAATAAATGATATAACCGGAATATGTTAGGACTTACCAAATAAATTGCCAGCTACGCATTTGAACAATGCTTACCAAAAGTTGGGGAAGAATTGGTTCGAGAAGATGTGCAGACAAGCTCTCTCTATCTCTGTCTCTCTCTTTCCCTATATATGGAAGTTTATGTTATATGACAACGCTACTACGCCGCTACTAACTAGACAACACTCACGGCTCGCTTTTTCGGACTCCTCGGTATGAATTCCGATGGGAAAGGTCGTTCGTACGGCGGCCTGTCGAAGGGAGCTGCTCCCATCTGGACCATGTAGCTGTTACCGTAGGGTCCTGCTTGATACACCGGCAAATAGGAGAGAAAGGAAGATGCGAGGCATTACGGCATGCGTATAAGCGTCAACAAGTGAATGTTAAATCAAAAGCGAACCTTACATCCAAACGCGTATTAGTTTGTCCAATATCACTGCCGGTTACTAAGAAATGTCTGGACGCTCGTGATAAGGAACTTTTTGTCAGGGCTGTCCACGTGCGTCCGTGATTAGAACCTGTGTTTTACTCTATTTCCATGTTTAGACCGTGGCCGTGGTTACACCGCAGACAACCTCCGTTTCATCTGGCATCCAAAACATTCTGTCCGCACAAATGTTTACGTCATCGCTTGACTCCTGGATGACATTTACGGCACGTAAATGATACGTTGATACATATCAACAACCGATTTCAAGTCTTGTTTGTAATGTAACCAGCAGTGATATTGCATCATATTGGACAAACTAATACTCGTTTGGCTATAAGGTAATGTACTTATTAACTGCAGAAGGTGCCAGTTACTCTAGCATTCATCAACATTGCATAATCAATGGACCTATTATTCCTTTAAACTATATGTGTTATAGAAGGTTTAGCATAAGACTATGACAGTGTTACATTGGTCGTCATGATAGTATTGTAAGTATATTAAAAAACATCATGGCAGATAGTTATTTACCCCCCACCCCCAGTTCAGCACTAGTACGCAGACTACACTATACACTTTTGGTGCCCTTTGCTGTCAACACTTGGTGCCCTTCGCTGTCAACACTTGGTGCCCTTTCCATAATGTTTCATGACAATGTTGTGACCCCCTATTGTGCTCACGTGCTGGCATAGGTCCGCTACCTGTGGGTTGAAGCTTGAAGGCAGGCAGGTCTTGAGTGGACAGCTATAGAGGAAGACGAATATATTGGCCATTCCAATTCCAAAACCATACTGGCTCTGCCCAACAGTGAGTAGTTTCTTTCGTGATTCAAAAATGGAACGTGCATAGTCTATATACGTGTTTCGCTATATAGCTAAAATCCATTCAATTGTATTCACAGCTATTCGATTAAGAATGAAGCTATATTAGTGATGAATATTTCACTTAATGTGTGTAATGTGATCCATAACTCGCTGAGAATGCGTATACAGGTGTGTGTTTCATGATTCACAAAGAGAGTGTGTGTGTTTGAGTGCGCGCGCGCACACGTGCGTCCGTGCGTGTGTGCGTGAGAGAGAGAAAAGAAATTAAGTTAGAGGCAGAGCGAGAGCAACAAACGATGGAATAAGGGAGAGAGGTGATGAATGTAGTATATAAGTCTACATTAAAAATTGTTACATGAACTAGTATTTTAAAGTTAAATCTTATATTTTTGGAATTGGTATTTTGAATGTGTAAGTTTTGGTAAAAGAATAAAACTGCGTATTAAAATCATGATATTTTGGCTTTTTAGCTCAACTGACATAGTCATATGCAGCTTGTAGAATCGCATGAGCGTGCGTCCGTGCGTCTGTCCGGCCGCGCGTGCGTCCGTCAACAGTTGGGCACAAATCTAAACGGCTCGACGTTCGGGCACGATATTCGGGACGTGGGGGGGGGGGGGGGGTAATCCGAAAACGAAG